AAACAAGAGTAAATGAAATAATTAAAAAAAAAACAAGGTAACAATTGTAAATAAGTAAAATTATGTAAAAAAAACATTTAAATCGCAAAGTAAAGATAAAAAATAAAAAATTCAGTGTAAGGGATGAACCGACTTTCTACCAATCTAGCTAAATCTGGTTCAATATTGGTGAGTTGCAGCCTTAAATCTCCGCGTTCGTTGATTTTCAAAAGGTTTCTTTGTTTTGTCAAAATGTTTGTAACCACACAAGCCTTTTTCGACTAGGTATGATGATGGAAAAGCGATAAGATATTTTTCAGCAATGTTCCATATTACAGGATACTGTGTTTCAATGTTGCGCTGCAACCTGAACTTCTGATAGCCTTGGTTAAACTTCTGCTTAAGTTCTTCGTCTGTGCTAATGGTGATCAACTCTGTTTGCATTATCATATTGGTTTCTTTCATGGCTGTGATATTGTACGGATTTATTATCCATTGAGGAATTTGTAAATTTAAGAGATCCTCAAACCTCTTCATAAAGTCCGTGTGTAATGCGTCCAAGTAAGTGAGATATGATAAAATAACATGGTCTTGAAGCATTTCTGGTAATTTTGACAAATACGGAAACTATGAATATTCTTATTTGCTTAGATTTTGTTTATAAATAATAAGTTTATCCACAAAGGCCGATATTATTGATTTTGTTTTGAGTTGAGATCGTCACCCTGTAGCTGCAAATTAACTTTGTCAAAATAAATGTAGTTTTATTTATATTCTTTGATTAACTTGATTGGAGTATAGTGACTCACCCCGTGTCCATAAGAAAGTTGTCTATTTTGACCTATATAGGTAATAATATATTAAAAATTAAGGAAAATCGACAGGTAGGTACCCAAAATCAATGTACTGAATAAATGCATATATTTTTTTATTGTGAATGGATAGTAATAATTACGCATCATCAGACCACCTCTGCTTTCCCTAAAGACGTCCGCGATACGTAATTTTTAAGGTTTTCACCTTCGATGGCGTCAACCGTTATTAATAAATCATAAATATTAGCGAAATAAACATGTGTTTCTACTGTAACTTATTATTTTTCCGAAATTTAACCTTCAGAACTCATTGTGTGGGGTCTACATACTCTAAAATACGGTACTTATATCGAACAAGTATCTACTTGACTTTACACGAAAAAAAAAAGACGCATCTCCTCATCTCGTTGACATGTCAGTGTTTAAATTATTTTTAGAATTCACACATTGTTATGATAAAGTAATTGAACGTGTTTAACAATAATTCAAATAAGGTCATCGACCGTCCTTCTATGGCTGAAAAACCTACTCGCTAATTTGGGAATGAATGGTCAATGAAAATAGCAATATATTCCTAAATTACAAAGTCCTAATTAATTATTTAGTAGATAATACGAGTTTTTATTTGATGAAATAGATTATTTTCATATAAAGTAGGTATGTAGGTTTTAAATTTTGATTTTGTATTTAAAAATATTCGAATAAGAATATTCGAATCTTGTATTAACTCACAGGAATGATCATTTGATGATGATGCCATTAAAAAAATAATTATTTAAATATTTTGTTGCAAAGCTAAATGTGACGTCAATGCGGTACAAAAATAGTAATGCAAAGGAATATAATAAATGGAAATACATAAAATAAATAAATAAGCATAGTATATCCGAGATTATTTCCCTCGCCTGTCAACTTTGACATTTTAACCAATCACATCGCAATTTACGTTATCGTTAGAACCAATCAGGACCAAATAAATCGACTATTTTCACTATTTCAAATCGACTATCCATGCATGTTGCTTGGATATTCATCTATGTTAACAGCAACTCGCATACTTGATTATATAGCACGGGTGCTTGGGAACCAACTTTAAATGAAAAGTTTATTAACTCAAAATCGGCTGATTTTAGAGAAAAAAGTCATTGATGCTTTTTTGTAGAGCGGACATTTTCCTATTGAAATTTACTTTTGGCAAGCCGAGAAAATGTGAAATGCGCAAGTTACAAGCAAAAAAGCAAAAAAAAGGTCACTTTTTCATTAAAAATCGAGTTTTCTCAAAAACGGCTGCTGGAACCGATTTTAAAAAATATATTGCGCCAATCTATAGCCGTTCAGAAATACTTTGACCGAAAAAAAAGTCTAGTAAATAAACTTTTCATTTAAAGTTGGTTCCCAAGCACCGTGATAGGTATACTATTTAATAACGGCTACTGTCAAATATATTTATTGTCCAGAGTACAACCTAATATCTCGTGGAACGTTTCAAAGAGAACCGAAAATAAAAGTAATTTTGTGTATTCATTAATTTAAATTACATTTAATCTCTTAAAATATAACTCGACCTTAATAAATTAGCGCCTATTGTTAATACATTTTTCGTGTATTTTGTAATTTGTTTCGACATAATTTTGTCATTAATAATCAAAAAATTAATAGAGTCCTCGAGCTAAAGCTCTCCGACTCTATTCAGATTATGAATGACAAAATTATGTATCGACAAATTGATATCAAAAACACTCAAAATTTAGAAACAATAAAACTAGTTGACTATTTATCAAGGTCTCGTTATATTACCCTTGAATATTGCCTAGGTACGTTTATTTTAATATTGTATTTGTAATTCTCATTTTTCTTTATTGAACAAGATTTATTAATTTTTTTTAATTTTCGATTTCGAGAAAATTTTTTTAATACTTATTAAAATAAAAAGGACGAAAAGTGGTTTGTACCAAATTGTTTAAATTCAACGGATACTTACTTCTGCGCAAAAAACATTATATGTGTCCAAAGACTTTAATGTGGGAAAATGGAGGGTACTAATTTAATAATCGTCAGATGGCGTTCCTGTACCGTGAGGTCTTTAAAATACCCTGTCAAATAATTTTCTAACTTGAAAATATTGACAATCTCATTAAAAATATTGTAATCAACAAATAGATAGGTGCATGTGCAGCGCCCCTGTGACAAGAACAAATTGAACTGCCCGGATTGCGATATTTACCACACAACTCCATTTTTTTCTCAATATTTGAATGTAAAAAGCCAGCCTTACTTTATGTCATTATCTAAATTAATGAATATAGGAAACCTTTAATACAAGTTTAATAGGCCTCTCTCTCGTCTCGCAGCATCACTACTCTACGCAATGATTTCGTCTTTCTCTGTTAAAAATCTGTTTCTGTCACGTTTTTTGTAACGAAAATTTAATTCATGTAATATTTTTTGCAGATGAAAATATGATATATTTGGAAGGGTGATACTATTTTCTATTTCTGAGTGTAATTTTTTAAGTGTAGGAATTTTATTTCGAAAGAAAAATAATGTACCATTTGCTTTATTACATTCTTTACCCAAGTTTCAATAAAGGTCTTGTTTCTTCCTGGGAGCTTTTTGGGATGTGAGACTTCTCCAAAAACTATAACTATCTTCTTTAATAACGTTATACACTGTTCGCTTAGATACTACAGTATAGGTTTCACATTTAGTGGCCTTTTCATCTACATAAAGGGAAACAAAGTATTTTCGAAAATTATTAAATAAATTAAGTACGATATTTTTTCTTCTGAAGATATTGTTTTATGTTCACTAGGTCGTTTCCGCGTACTTGTACTTATAATATATACTAATACAAAATTCCGAATCAATTAAAATACATACGATACGGCTATGAATAAATAAAGTTTGACTTATCTGTCAAAATAAAAGGTTTATTATAGTAAAAACCATGGAAACATGTTTAAATCTAAACAATCTAAAAAAAAAATCATTTTGACCAGGATACACATACTAAAGGTATGCTGACTTTCGATTCAAAATTCGTCCAAACCGCGCATGACGTAATGAGGGACGAACTTTCAAGTTATTTTGACTTTTTTCTATTGAGTAGTGTAAAATCATTTAATAATTTATGTTTTTGTGTTAGTAGTGACTATATTTTCCTATATATAACAGGGAAGAACTAAATTAATGTTTAAAATGCCGGGCTGCGCAGTGGAGATATTTCCGAATGCCACAAAATGTGGGTAAATTCTTATCGAAGAAAGGACAAACTTAATTGAAATTGCCCTGTCCATTTTGAGGAAAGTAGTTGTGAGATTCCTCTCAAACATAGACGCAAGAAAAAGAAACTGAATTCCACCAGGTACACGGGCCTCATTAAGCAAAGAAAATAAATCGGTATTTAAAAATTTTAGCAGATAAAACAGTAGTGTCCTGTCCCAATACAACAGTCCTTTTGAAGTAATGCCATGCATGAGCAGGACACGAACATATATAAGAATAAGATAAATGAACAGGCAAAATTGGTTTTGAGTATTTTCAAAGTAAACTTGACAAAAAAAATTAAATTTGCCAAATAAAAAGTAATGTTTTTGTGTACTTACTTTTTGTAAATAAATAATTTGTTTCTGCACACTTATTTTTATTTCACATAATAAGAAAAGAGATTGCAAGAGAACTACTACGCCCAGAACGTACAAATTTGAGTCAAACTTGTATTTTTAGTCTATATCTTTTACTTATCTTATGGCCAGGTTATGGATTATCTCTCAAAATACTTATAATTTATGAAAAAAATTACTATTTTTATTAGTATTATTTACCTTAAACCTTCATATTTGTAAACGAATATATTACAAAATAAATAAATTAGTACCTGCATAAAATCTAAAATTGTCAAAACATCTATCTCCCATTTAATGCTTATAAGTCCCACATGACGTCACCGTCAGTCAGCTGCATGCGCAGGAACATACCGTTAGTCTGTGTATCGTGATTTCGACTACAAATAAATAAAATGTCTATCTCTTGAACATGTACTACGTTCTGCAAATTTCGTCTCTACACTGTACCTAGTATAAAGAGACAAAAAATTGCTAGAATGTTTCCTTATTTTCGACATTTTTCATTAAGAGAATATCGAACGTTCCTCGTAAAAACAGATTTTTTCCAATTGAGTTTAATCATATTCATATTTTTTTACAGATTATCCTAAAACCTGGGGCATAAGGACTCGAGTGGCACCAGCATGGTGGACTACTACAGGGTCCTCGAGGTGCAAAAAACTGCTACAGGTGCAGATATAAAAAAAGCGTAAGTTTATTTTATTTTTCTTTCGTGACACTAACATCATTTACTTCCACTAATCATCTGAAACATTATATTATAATACAACGAATGGCATTTCAATCGTCACTCGGACTGGTAAAAATAATTTTTGACAACACGTTTCGTTCATTAGTTTATGCGATTATCCACATAGCAAAAGTTGTATTCAATATAATTAATAAAATATGAAAGCTCAATAATTTAAAGTACAAAAGCAATGACGAAACACGACAAGCGTGCCTACTAGATCGTTACAGCTTTAATGTATCAATGATTACACCGGCACACAAAAAAAAGTTGTTTGTACATTAGACACGACCTACCTACCGGCATGTATTTTGACCCGCTGAATCCGAATTTCAAGTCAGTTTGGGCCGTCCACCCTTCAATATCGAGTAAATTGTAAAAATAGTAAAAATAAGATAATTAGTAATAAAAAAAATTATGAATCGAAACCAAGCATAATTCTTATGTATTTCGATCCGCTGAATACTGCGGAGGTCATTTGAGAACAAAAAAGTTTGATACCAACAAAAAACAGTTCAAAATCTGAGAAAATCTTTCGCCTCATTCAGTTCATACATCAGTTTTTAGAGATATTGCAAGGGTGGATATTGAAGGGTGGACGGCCCAAACTGACACCACTGTCCCAGTGGTGAGAGTCGTCATGTGACCTGTGAAATTGAAAGTAAAGTTGCTTATCGATAGTTTTTCTTTTTTAGGGATTTCGGCCACATGACGTTTTTCAACGAAATTCGGTATATAGCATAAACGCGTTTTTTTTTTTAATCTTAGATGATATTGCAAGAATTTTTTTTGTGGCGTCAAAAGTCGAAAAGTAGTTTAATTACTCTCATATTATTTGTATGACTCTCAAATAAGAGTATTGCAAGCACCTTTTTGTGTTGTGAAAGAGTTGATATGCAAAAAAACTTACAACTAGGCGAAAATTTACCTATTTTTTGAAATGAATGTGTAATCGGATTGAAAAAAACGTTTGTATGAATAATAATTATTAATCTTTCAAAACACAAAGTTCAATTAACTTGTATAAATGGATTCGTACTTATAATCGTTACATTTTTGGAAAGTCAGTACGAAATTTTCGTAATCGTAATAACTCACATCACACCTTTGCACTGTACAAACTGTCTGGCAAAACAAAAAATGTAAAATACTAGTAAACAATGAAGTTCTGTGAGTAAGACACAACAAACAAGACAAGCTAAAGGTACCATTTGGCAACGCGCGACAGACGACAGCAGAAGCGAAGGAGACCAAAAAAAGTCTATTCACGTCTGAAAACATGTAATTATATGAAACACATTTCGCAAGGCGCGATCAATGCGAGAGACCAAAGTGGACGACAGGAAGATCGGTCTTAGGGTTGCGTTCTCTGCCTGTCGTGCGGCGTTTAGTCAGCACTTGTATTTCGAGGTGATTAGTTGATATTTTATAGAAATGGTAGTTGCAAAGTTCTTTCGATCTATCCTGGACAGTGTTGCCAGATGAAAATTCAGATAATTCAAAGCGTTGTGTTTGGCATGCAAGTTCTTTTTAGGATGCCCTATTAATTATTTGTTGCCTTTAAATAAAAACATAATGATTATCTTGAGGTTTTTTATGGCTGCTTTTATTACGCCGCTTTTACTTCAGCAAATTTACTAGAGAAAATATTCTTTGGCCATTTGCTGAAGAATGAGGCAAATTTAATAAATTAAGAACAAAATTTGCTAAGTTGGCGAAAACAATAGATTTAATGCCTAAAACAGGAGAACATACAAAAACAGTGGATCTACTTTAAATTAGTAGGTTTGGCAACACTGATCGTTGTTATCAAATGGTTGTCTGCGGTTACCGGTCTCCTTGTCTCCTTGCTTCGGCTTCCCAAATGTGTGAAACGTAACGTAAATGCATCTGTCTCCTTCGCCGTCGCTTCTGCTGTCGTATGTCGCGCGTTGCCAAATGGTACCTTTAGGCTTGCCTAAGCCTGTGCGTACGTCTATACTTGTACTCGTTACTCGTCAGCTGTAGGAATCAGAAGTACAGAGTACTTTAAAATATAAAATACTCGAAGTTGTTCGAGTATTGAGTCCCATCAGAATGAAAGTACTCACGAGTACCAATTACTGAGTACTTTGAGTACTCAAGTACAATTTTGAGTACAATTTACTCGCGTACTGCCCAGCTCAGGGTGGAACTATGTTTACACTCTGAAGTGATAGCTGGAAAGCAACCTTCTTTGCGATAATTAAGAGAATTGGTACTTATGTGTTTACAAACATTGAAATGTCGATTTCATTTTCAGCGACATTTTCCCATTAAAACCATATCGATACAAAGAGCATTTTATTATTTTAAGTAAATTATGTTGGATATTGGCAGATATCACATATTTACAAATAAATTTACTAGTGCATCCGGAAAGACATGCTCCAAAAAGATGGAAGCAATTGGTTAACACCTTGAATTCTTTGGGATAAAGTAATTTCACAAGTTAAAAATAATATTCGAGGTTATTTTTCAATTGACAAATATAATGTACTCGCTTTTCTACTTACGGAAGGCAACTCTCTGAGTTGTTGCCTTCTGCTGATAGAAATGTAGCAAGAAATCGCTACAAAGCTATTGAGCTGAATAAACATAGTTCTACAAGCGACATTTGTAAGACGACATCGCCGCAAAGCATGAACATAGCCCATAGTTGTGCTACCTTACCTTTGTTACAAACTCTGAACACCTTATTCCCGAGAATGTTAAGAACTTTTGGTCATTCATCAAGAATCTAAAAAGAAGCTTTCGCCTGCCAAACTTTATAACACTAGAATTAACCGATCCCAGACACAACTAAAGCTTTTGCAAACCACTTTCAAACAAGCTATTCAGACGACAATGACAATACCCTTCCTACAATAGACTCATCACAGCCATTTTGATCAACTTTAATCCTTGTTTACATTCCAGAGATAACGAGGAGATGTAACTACTAACAAATATCGTGCGGTCTTGAATAAGACATATTCTAAGGGACACAGACGGGTATAATATCCGCTGTTGTCATATGCCTATTTCATTACTCTCGTTTTGTTTACAAAATTATTTACATATATTAAAAAAGTTAAAATAATTAAACCTATTTTATTGCAACTGAACCCAAAAATTTTTGAATCATAAGTTATATTAAATTTAACTAAATTAGATGTAATTTCACTAAATTAGCTGTAATAATTTTCAATAAACTCCAAAACCTAGTGATGTTAGGTTGGAAGTGGCAACAGGGCTTACACCGGCATGGATATTCACGTTGTTTATTATAAGCGCACAGCGGCTTACACATTTATTCATTGATAAAAATAAGTTGTATCTGTGTAAAATTCTTCTTTTTATCCCTTCTCTTACTTCTCACCTTTGGTCGCCTTGCCCCGCGTCTACAAATAGAGTATATGGATTGTCGAATTAATGTTGGCATCGTGAATATTATATTTTATCAATGACTGCTTGTCTTTGTTATCTCTGATAAATTCACTGTTGAAGAAGCGGTTACAAAAATTAATGACTTAGATGTTGGTAAGAATGCCGGTCCGGCTGGAATATCGGAATCACTGAGTTGCTGTGATTCTCTTTTTTTACCGCTGAGTCTAATTTTATAAAAATCCTTTGATAGCGATATATTTTCCACAGCCTGGAAATTCTCCAATTTAGTACCAATTTATCAGAAAGGTGACAAATCTGACATTAAAAACTATGGAGGGACCTTTTTGATTTCCACTATGCCTAAATTATTTGAATCTATTCTGACTGTTGATGTATTTTGCTCTTCTCACCAGCATAGCTTTTATTAAGGTCGCTCAACCGCTATAAATCTTACTATATCTTTTACTATATCTTATACTATATTATCAGGATTACTTAAATTCATCAGTCGAAGTGGTTATTCAAGTCGATGTTATATATTACAGATCTGTTTAAATCATTCGATAGTGTCAGTCACAAGTTGCTGGCTCAGAAACTTTGTTACATTGGCATCTGAAGTGGATCAGCTCTTAATTGAACGCTCTCAGCGTGTTTTGGTATAAAATGCAGCCTCTTATGATAATCAGTAACCTTCAGTGTTTCTCAAGGTTCCCACATTGGTCCCGTGCTATTTATATTGTTTATAAGCAACGTAATCAATTTAACGGCTTCTCGTAGAAATTTTCATCCCATACTTGGCTACGCCGATCAGTATAGACTCTAGCGGCCTGAACACAGCTCAAATTGTTGTATGTTAAATAAACGAGTAAACAAGTTCAATAATGATCATTAATATTCCGAATCGACTCGGAATCACCCTGCGTGCGAAAATTCGCTGTTGCAGTTATTTCTCTATTTCAAGAACTCTCAAATTCGGCTGCGAGTTATTTTGTGCTTCATATCTTGTGTTTTTAATGTATTTTTTGTTTTCAATTCTTAATTTTACTTTAGTTTAAGCTGTTGTAAGTTTTGCATACTACTTAGGAAATGTACTACCTGTAATGTGTGTTCCAAATTAAATAAATAATAACAAAGGTTTTTATTGACTGTTAATTACAAAAAAACCAACAATAATTACACAGGCCTGCGTTTAAATACTCTGTAAAATGTGAATTGAACTGTTCAACTGAAATTGGGTATTTCAGTGACGCTGATTTCAAATCTGCTTTTAGTTTTTTCTATCACGTAAGGTTTTTAAACAAAATACAAGAATGCAAAAAAAGTAAAAATATATTTATAGATACTTAGGATAAAAAAGAAAATAACCAAGAAAACAAACAATAAAACCGGGGAAGTAGTTAAAAAATAACGTACATTAATCCTTTGTTTTCTTGAAAAATCTTTCTCTCTTTCCGGAAAAGCTTCTTTTTGTTGTTTTTCGTACAGTGCAGTAGGACGGTCCCTTTTAAGCATCCAACAGTAGTCGGCCATCAATTTGATATCCCAGCGCTCTTGATATAGCCGTTCCATTTCTTTTATGTCCTGGTGAAAGCGCTTTCCTTGCTCTTCACTGACATCGCCATGATTATCCGGAAATAGTCAAGATGAGCATGTAGAAAATGAATTTTTAAGCTCATGTTACAGCCTAACTTTCTAAATTTGTCCAACATGTTTTCAACAATACTTTCAAATTCAGGGTCTTTGTAGTTTCCTAGAAACTTATTTATAACTTGTTTAAAAGCTGTCTATGCTTCTTTTTCGTCTTCCTGCATAATCGTCTCAATTTCATTAGTTTTCATCAACCTTCTTATTTGTGGCCCAACAAAGATGCCTTCTTTTAATTTAGCTTCAGAGAGACCCGGAAATGTTTCACACAAGTACTTAAAGCAACCACCATTTTTGTCTAGAGCTTTGACAAATTGTTTCATCAGCCCCAATTTTATATGTAGAGGGGGTAATAAAATTTTCTCGGGATCAACTAGGCTTTCCCGAATTACGTTATTGGAGCCAGGCGTTAAATTTTTTCTTGGTGGCCAGTTTTTTTGGTCCAGTGGTCATCTCTTGCTCTACTGTCCCACTCACATAGGAAACATGGGTATTTCGTATATCCGGATTGTTGACCTAAAAGCAACCCTAAAATTTTAAGGTCACCACATAGAATCCAGTTATGTGGTCTGTAGTTTATTCTTAAAAGCAGTACCTCAAGATTTTCGTAATTTTCTTTTAGCTGAGTAGAATGACCAACAGGAACAGATGCATATAAATTGCCATTATGAAGTAGAACAGCTTTAAGACTTCGCTTTGAAGAGTCTATGAAAAGTCTCCTCTCGGCAGGATTGTATCCAAGAGCACCTAGGTGAATAACCAAGTCAGATACATTTTGGCAATATACAAGTGAACCAGCTGCGGCATAGTAATTGACAAATTCAGCCTCACGATTTCTATACCAATAAAATGTAGTACCTGGAGCAAGTAATTTTTTTCTTTGAGCCTTAATCCTAAAACCTCAGAGAGGTCTTTTGGAAGTCCCAAATCCCTGACTAAGTCATTCAGCTCTACTTGAGAAAATAGCTGCGGTTCACGGGTTCCTGAGGTAGATGGCTCAAAAATGTCAACTTCTGAATCTGTTGAAGATTCTGATTCGATAGACTGTAATACTTTAGGTGGAACAGTTACAGGTATATCAGCGTCATGTGGAACTGGTCTTATTGCAGAAGAAAGATTAGGATAGTTAATGTACTTTAGAGAATTTGTGTTATGACCTTTAATATCACAAAGACAAAAATAGCAGTCGTCAATGTGATTTTTAGGTTCTCTCCAGACCATTGGTATTCCAAAAGGTAGGGCTTTTCTTGTTCCTTTAAACCAATGCCTCAAGGCTTCTTCGCAAATCTTGCAGATAACATGTGGCGCCCAAGGTTTATTTTGATCTCCAAGTCTGACTTTAAAATATGCAAAATATGCATTTTTTACGAAATCAGTAATGTTTCTTTTAAACTTCTTCACTATAAAGTGTCCACAAATATAACAAAAGTCATCAGGCCTATTTTTACAACACCTACTAGACATTTTTTTAATAGAAAGTGTACAACGAAACACCGATAGAATTCGATAGACAACGCCTGTCTCAATACCACGGGGATACTAAATATATCGCCCTTTCCTGAATAAATCGAGTCTCGGGGAATCCCCAACAATATTCTAGTAAGTACCGGTAAATCCCCCTACAAATGCGCAAATTAAAACGAGGTTTTAACGCGTCTCAACGTTTTGAACAAAAATAAGGAATTCAAATTAATTTGTTTGTTACGTTCAGGGATAATACCCTTGATATTAGTATATAAAAAAGTTTACGTGATAGAATAATACCTAAGGGGGTTATTTTAGCTATATAGAAGTTGTAAATAGGTAAAAAAAATAAATAAAATGGCTAGATCACAAAATTTTTGCGGGCCTGTGTTATTCATGTGCAGTAATAATTAGTCAAAAGGCAGAGTTCAGATGTCTTGGAAATATTAAATAATAGGAATTTTTATGTTTGTTATAGATACAGAAAACTAGCTCTAAAATGGCATCCGGACAAGAATCCTGATAATATGGAAGAAGCTACAAAAAAATTCAAAGAAATTTCAGAAGCGTACGAAGTATTATCAGACGGTAAGTGATACAATTAACTAAAATTTCAACGACAATTTTTATACGTTTCTGCAATTATCGTAATAGTTTTGTTTGTTTATGAATAATAACGAATTAATGAGGCAATAAACTGAAATTTTGCAGCGAGTTTGAAACACGTTAGAAATGGTTTTACAAAAAAAAACTCGTTTAGAAACTAATTAATTTTTATTCGTTTTACCGTATAACTGTATTCAGTTTTACTTTTACTGCCAATACTTAATATGTAGAAAAGATACAGGGTGTGGCAAACCTTTGTCGTAGTTTTATAGCTGATATTCTATTAAATCTAAGATCTTCGTTCATAGATATACATCAAAAGAAATATTTGAGAGAAGTATTTTCATGTACACAGGGTGGTCTAAGAATATGTTAGACCAGCATTTCTTTATCTTTAAGTCAAGTGGAACCAGTTTTAATCTTCTTTTTCATCGTGGAACCCCTGGTTTTTGATTCAATAGTATGGTTTTACTCCAACAATATATGTATGAATGGATTATTTGAAATAAATAAGACAGTTATTTCAAATAATATTTATATTCAGATTATTCTGTTGTTATTTTTTTTTTTTAATTTCGTGGAGGCGTTAATTTTTATTGCTATTTTTGAAGTTACTTTCCTTGAATGTTATGAAAGAAAGCACTTGAATTTCTTAATTTCTTCTTGAGTAATCTCCACGGAAGAATTAGAAGATTCAGCTTTAAAAAGAAACACCTTGTATACATGAAAATATTTTTGTTTTTGTTATTTCCTTTTAAGCACCATTGATGAATATATTTGAACGAAATTGGTAGTTTTTTTAGAATAGGAGTTATAGAAATTTAAAGGAAGTTCTAAATTTCATGTCAATATTTTATGACTAAAATTTTGTAAATTGATTTATTTTTAAGATATAGTGCGTTAAACATACCAATCAGATTATTCTCCTGGATGCCACTGAACTTAATAAATTTGTTCTAATCAGATTTAAATAAAGAAATATTAATGAAAAATCAATTTTTTTAGAACATTTTACCATGTACATCAATTTATATTTATGCAACTTTAGTCACAAAATAGACCAAGGAATTACTTTCTTCGGTATTGACATGACATTTAGGTTAGATAGAGAAGATATAGAACCCTTTATAGCGACTAATTTATTTCTAGCAATGTTGCCAACAAGAATATTAAATAAAATTAATGACTTCTTTGTTACTATGATTAAAAGCTTAAATAATAAAGTAATAAACGTGTAATTATAATTTGTTAGAATGTTCTTTTTATAAATGTTGATATTGATTATTTTGCGTTTTATGTTGAAAATCGTTGTTGGTATTTTTATAGATTCGAAAAGAAAGATCTATGACACTCGAAGCACCAGAAGTAGTTCGGCGAAATCAAGATCCTACCGAAGCCATTATTTTGACAGTTACAATCCTTTCTCTCAGAAATATTTTGGTATATTTACAGGTTTTTCGTTTTTTTTTTGTGTGGTTAACAACTAATTTTCTTTTCTCATCTCTATCATATTGCTAGACCAATTTCAGATTGACTGACTGACTATAATTGTAAATATACAGAATTGAACAAAGTAAAATAGACTATAATACATAACAGTCATTACACCATTGATCATATTGGAATAGTCACAATCAAATACTGAAATTTATTAGCTACAATTTCTTGCATATTTACATAGGACGGACTAACCGACGAATGAAAAATAGAGCATTAGAATATTTTTAACATCTTAGATCTCCCCATTTTTCTATAATTCTTTTGGGTGGAATGGTCTTCTATAATCGAATTTTGGTTTTCTTCTAAGGTTACAAACAACTAGTATTTTTGTAAATGCTCCTGCTTTTTTTACTGCCTTTCTATCACTTTTTGCTCGATAAGATCGTCATAAACTAACTAATTTACAATTTCACTAATTAACATTTAGTACAATCAAATTGTCAGATCGAAAAAATTGGGAACATGCTGAATATTTGGAAGTTAAAAGGTCAAATCCAAAACTGGCATATCTCCACCAGCTATGGAACCTATCGTGAAAATAAAAATTGGAAAAAATTTATATCTTGATTCCTATTGGAATGTAAGAAAAATAAATGTAAAGCTTAAAATTTTCAAAAATTCTTGTCCCTCTCTGTAGTTCGTTTAACAAAAAAAAGGGCGCCGAAGTTACAAAAAAAAAAACACTTTTTCTGCCAAGTAACTTTCAAAAACTAATTATCTAGATGACAATATCCTGAAACTAGTCCCTTGAGAAGAGGTGTTGATCGAAGGGTTGAGTATAAACGCGTTCAAATAACTACCAGGTGATACACCAATTTTGGATTTTACCCGCATGATGCCTGTCCCAAGTTTTTTTCGATCTACCCTCTTATTTTATGACAATTTTACTGTAATAATAATTATATACATTGCTTGGCGGTAATAGTGATTTTTCGAATTTTGAATTTCTTTGTTACAAGTTTGAGTGATTTTGGCTGCTACTAACATTTTTTTGATTTAATTATGCTTGCTTTTTGATTTTGATGAAACCAGTTTGTTTTATTTTTTGTTGACTTTTTTGCGAATAATAACAATTATATAGAGACTTAGTCTACGTGCGTGACTGCATATGTAAGAAATTAAATAGAAATAATATAATAACAAAGTATCAAGCAAATTTCGTTTCAGGGTTATATGAGAATAAAGACTTATTAACTGTCAACAGTCATCGATGGTAACTCAAAAAATTTCTTATACACAGAACAAAAATCTTTGTAATTTTTGTATTTAAAATAGTAATAGTGGATACATAACTATTCGCGATTCGCCGGCCACCAGCGATCTGCTGGCGAAATCCCGGAAAGGTGGCGACTTGCTGGAGATTGTCACCGGCATCTCTCGCATGTTATTCATGATTCATTTTTTAAAACTCAAAAAACAATGAACGAATATAAAAATTTTCCCCATAAAAGAACACGAAAACGTAATTTTTCCTATAAAATAACATGACAACTTGCCAGAGATGACATTCCGGTGACAATCTCCAGCAAGTCGCCAGAGATTCATCTCGGCGGTATCAGCAGTGGTCCGCTGGCGATTGACTATGCATACGGCTGTAAGAGGCTTGGTTGCGAGGGGATGTCCACAGGAAGGGGTGCTATCACCTCTAATGTGGAATATGGTCCTCGACATCCTCATTAGCTTCCTCAATAGCGTATGCAGATGACCTGATCATTCTGCAAACAGGGAATTTTGAGAACATGCTCGAAAGGAGGCAAGTAGCTCTCAAAATTATAGAACAGTGTTGCAAGGACCCTTCACTGTCTATCAATTCCGAGAAGACAGAAATGGTCCTTTTCACAAGGAAAATTATGAAAATGGAATTGAAACCTTCAGAACTCCTAAACACAAAACAAAACTTTGCAACAGAGTTGAAGTACCTAGGTTTCACCTTTGACAGCAAGTTAAAATGGAACTCACACTTAGAAAACAGAGTCAAAAGATCATACATTGCTTGTGATCAATGCCGCCGAAATGTGGGGCGCACCTGGGGTTTCTCTCCTAGAGTCGTGGCATGGACTTACATGGCCATCAATAGACCTATGCTAACATACAGTTCGAAAACATATCGAAAACCCAAAAATTGACATCTATCTGCAAACTAGAACAAATTCAAAGAACAGCATGTCTCATCATCAAAGGCGGCTCCAGGGGGGCCATGCCTCCCCCACTGAGATGAAAATTCTTCCGATTTATGAGCCTTTTTTTCAAAAAAATTCGTCTTAGAGCCGCCCTTGCTCTACATAATAGGAGCCATGAAAATCACACCGACCAGAGCCATGGAAATCGTTCATAGTCTCTCTTCCCTTGATATTTACATCAAGGAGGTTGTTCTGATGACAATGACGACACGCTCCCGCACGGTTGGAATAGAATCTGATGTAGGATCTGGTGAGGCGAGATGTCACTTTTGGCAGGAAGCGCTCGATACGCTCCTACTGCTTCAGGCATCGAGATAGAATAAAGTAGAGACGACATAAACACTATTTTGCGATATGACAAAATGGATGCACTTCAAGTGACGGAAAAATGTAATCAAAATGGCGACTTGAGTCGTACTTTGATTTATTTGAAGTCAATAATTTTATATTTAAAGACTGACGGAATGAGAATAATTTTATATCATTTATATGAAGCTATTTAACGAAAAATGGCATTTATTCTCACTAAAACTGACCAGCTACACTATCTCGAATTGGACATTGACGTAAAAATGTAATACAAAGGTGCGGACATTTTAGCATCATCATAGCATCTCCTCTTTATTCTATCTCAATGGCTTCAAGCGAATATGGACTCCCATCTTTCCGAGATATATCTTCCATAAGCTATATAGAGTTATAACAGTGGCAGGTACGATTCATATATACACACACCGACGGTTCTAAAACAAAACAAGGCTCAGGATGCGGAATATACTCCAGATCCTTAATCCTTAAACATAAAATGGACTATGAGCAATAGTGCCAGTGTAGTTCAAACAGCTCACGGGAATTCTCATAGCAGCAAAAGAAATCACATATCACTGGAAGGAACATGCTCATCCATACATATATCAGATATACACTACTCACCCTGAACAGACTACGAATTTACGCAGGGTTAGTACTAGAATGTCACGAAGCTTTGCCGAAGTATCCATCTACATCAAAGGTCACGCCGTCTTGTTGATTCACTGGCCAAGAAAACAGCCAACCAAATACTTTTTGGACCTGGCCGTTCTATTGGCCTGACAAAATCGGTATTGACAGACCTAATTAAAAAACTTTCCACTATGAAATTCAAGAAAAGATGAAATGAAAAAAGAAACTGCAGGGTTGCCAGGAGCTTTTAAGTTATTCTGACAACATTACTACAGCAAATACTTGACTATGCCTTGACGGAATCTGCGCCTGGTCACAGGCATTTTGACTGGTCATTGCCAAGTACGGAATAATGTTCATATCATGGGGCTGTCAGAATCCGCGCTCTGCAGGGGGAGACAATCGAGCATATCCTCTACGATTGCCTGACGCTCTCATTTATTAGAATATTTGTGTTCGTCTAATACCGGCCAATATAAGAGAAGCACCTCTAGGCGTACCTTGTCAACTACATTAAATCTCTAAGCTGGCTCACGAGCTAGGAGGTGCCTATCATCTTAGGAGGATGCACAATGGGCCTAGTTATAATCGAAAACTAGTCGAAAGTAGTTTCTTTTCAATTTTTGTTTTCGCGAATTACTAAAATAATTATTCATGGCACCAAACAAAAATGTACATTATAAAATAAATATCTAACAATTATCAGCCATTGCACGTTCATAAAATAATTATTAACAAACAAAAAAAAACAAGGAAATAAATTAACCCTATAATTATTTCATAACATGTTTCTTATGTTTGTCATTTCGTTGATAAGACACTAGTAGTTGGTGCTAGATTTTTTGATATTGAATTTAAGATAAAAAAAAAACAAAATATTAATTCTTGTTGATACATGCAGTGGTTTGGTGGGAAACTTAACCTATGCCCACCACTTTGACTATAGATAATAAAATATTAAAATTTCATTAATAAATCATAATGCAGTTGGTGTTTTTTTAGAACTTGTCCATTATCTCGGAAACTTAAGTAGTTGTATATGGATTTAGAAAAAAATTAAAAATAAAAGTTACATAAATTATAAGAATTTTAAAATATTTATATTTCCATTAAAAGATTATTTATTTGTTTTCACATAATTTTTGTACAGTTTTCGGATACGTATTTATCTAATCACCTCGTTTAATTCAAAATGAATTTTTTGTTTGTATTTAAACGACCTCTTTGTTCTCTTACGATATTATAAAAAATTATCCATAACGGTGATTGTCATTATGGTTACTGACGCATATGTTGACGCCCCCATAACTTTTGTCAGAAATAAATAATAGCACATTAAAATTGCCCATGAGAAAATAAATTATATAAAAAAAAAAACGAGAAGATTTAAAAGATCTTGAATACCATACGAAAACGTATTAGTCATTCTGCCCAGTCATTAGACATACAATGTGTCCCAAAAGTCTTTAAGTGTTACTATCTTCGAATAAAGTGAATTTACTGCCGGTGCTAAGACTTTTCGGAAACCCTGCAAATTTATAGGCTATTCATTAGAGTTAGGCAAAATAATCGATTAATCGATCATTAATCCATTATTCCATTAATTTTTTTTAGAAAAATGGATAATCGATTAATTAATTAATGTTTTAATTAATTAATTTTCAATCAATTGATTATTTTCGATTTTTCAAAGATAATTATTATATTCGATTGTAATTAATCGATTATTTCAATCTAATAAAAAATGTGGTGTGGGCAACAACTTTCTTTAAAAGAAAATGATGCCAAAATGAATCCAAAATAATCGATTTTCTAAATAATTTATTATTTGAAAGTAACTTTATTGGAAACTAATCGAATTATTTTGATAATTGCTATTCAGTATGAATGTGAGTTAGAGGTTTCTCATAAAGTACTACAAATACAATAATTAAGAAAATGTTTACCTTAGGATTGTTCAATTTACTGAATGCGTGATTGCGGTGAAGTCAGAACAAAGTTCATAACACATTATTTATGGACAAAACAAGTTACCATGACAACGATGTCAGATGTCACTATCATGTGTCATCAGAGATAACAGGAGATGTAACTACTAAAAAATATCGTGCGGTCCTGAATAAGACATATTCTAAGGGACACAGGAGGGTATAATATCCGCTGTTGTCATATGCCTGTTTCATTATTCTCGTTTTGGATATCACGTTATTTATTATAAGCGCACATCGCTTACACATTTATTCATTGATAAAATAAAGTTGTATCTGCGTAAAAACCTTCTCTTTATTCCCTCTCTTACATCTCGCTTTTCGTCTCCTCGCCGCGGACCTACAAATAGAGCGTATTGATTGTCGAATTAATCTTGGCATCGTGAATATTATATTTTATCAATGAATGCTTATATATGTTATCTCTGCGTGTCATTGTCGTAAACAAATACTTTAAGAATATTTTTGCTATGCATTGACAATACTCATATCAATCAAATTAAAAAAAATCGTTTATACCATTTTCTTCACCTTAACTGGATTCCTAACATGGAATCTAGTTAGTCAACTACCCCCATATATTTGTTGCAAATATCTACTGCCTTAGGACACTCAACTTCCCTATATTCATGACCTCTCCTGACATATCGCCTTTTCGTATTTTGGAAGAGCAGCCTACATTATGTTGAGAGCATGGTACATTGTTGTCAAACCAACAGACACATGACACGTCTACCCCATCTATTTTTGCAACTGTTTTAGCCATGCTGTCACAACCAAGTGCTTTAATTTCTTTTTCTGTTGGAATTTCAGAGTCTGTTACAACACGATTTCGTTCCAAGTGGTAGCAAACTATTTTTAGCTAAATATACCTGAAGTAAACTGGTAAACCAGTGGTCGAAAAATATTTTATGTTTTTGGTGACGTGGCACAGTTTTGGTAAGGGTTGTTACAGTGTTTCTACTAGATCTGGTGCACCATCCGAAATAGTATTGCTTTGCTTATCAGCAAAAATATCGAAGTCATACCCAAAACCAGACACTCCACTAAGAACAAATTTTGTATTACCCCACTATTTGGTTTTTTAGGATTGTACTGTTTTAGTGAATGTCTGCTTTTAGTAGGTATTATTTGTTCATCAATTTATAGATATTCCTCTTTAGGAATAAGCAACAGCGAATTTTTTCTATAACTGGTCTTACTTTAAATAGTTTGTCGTGTCCAGCTGGTATAAACTTCATATTATCATTAAAATCCAGGTGTCTTTTTCACGTCATGGTTTCATAAATCTGTGGTCGGCCTATGTTTACATTCCAGTACATTCTGCTAGCCGGTAATTTTACGAGTGATATAAATATAGTTTGTTCCAGTTCTTGTCTTTTAATTTTGTTTCTCTATTAGGTCCAATAAATCTTCAGGAAATAAAAATAGTAAGAAATCTGTTTAACTCTCCAATGTATCAGTACATTGTCATGAAACCAGGGTGTCCAAAAAGGGTAGTTTTTTTCAGCATATGATTTAAAATTTGACTTTTTCCATTCTATTTTGTTCTTATCTTTCTTAGATTTTCCAGAAGAATTTCGTTTATTTATAAGTTTTCTTTCCATTGATTTTGATGTTGTTGCCTAAGGAATATCTAACTCAGAGGTAGGTGAGTCATCCTCATCATCATTAACATCTTCAAACGAATCAGTGTCAGTATCGTCAAATTCAGGAATTACATCATTACGTCGACTCTTTCTAGCCGAAGATAGTACATAAATAAATTCATCATCACTCACGTCTACTTCACCGGGAACATTATGTACGTTATACATTTTTTTAGTATCCATCTCTAAAAATAAAGATCTCATCTAAATTGCATACGAAACCAAATATAACTATCAGAAAAAGGAACTACATTGGTCAAAATGCATACGAAGCCATATATGGTCTTATCATAAATGTTACCTTTACAAATAAACTTTTTTAGATATTTATGAAACCACCAATTAGGAAAGTGACACCTATCGCACTATTTATTCTTATGGGAAGTGCCCTATATCACACGCGTGTGCATAAATTTACTTTCCACACATGTGTGAGTATGAATCTACTTTCAGCATAAGCTGTCAAATAAGTCAGACGTCTAATTTCTATTTTGGTTGATGTAATGTCATTTTAATAGTAAAATGGATTTGATGATTAAATTGTTAACCTTTTACCGCATGGGAATCCATATGTGGATTCTTAAAGTTATTATTTTTTTGGTTAAGTTAAATTCAATCAGGCAAAATATATTTATATCATTGTCTAATGTTGTCATCTTTTATCTATCCGGCAACTGCGCATTTTACAAAGTTAACCTTACTTCTTTGTTTTCGCGGGTTTTCATCCATTTCGAAAACACTGACCCAGCAACATCAAGACATTACTCGACCTGATTGCACTTGGAGGCCATAGAAATACACAAACATGAAAATAACTTCATAAGAAAGAGGATCTTGTGTTCTCAGTCGGACAAAGTGTGTTCGGCGACTGCAGCCTTTTCGGTCGACAACTTCGTTTGTGTTCTGTTAGTCGTGTTCCAATGCTTCTCTTTGTTTGTCCTATGTATACTTTTCCACAAGTGCATGGAATTCTGTAGACTCCTGCTGATGTGGGGGGTATCTGCGGTCTTTTGCTGTTTTAAGATATTATCCTAATTTCTTTGTTGGCTTGTAGACATTGCCGATTTTCTTTTTCCTTAGGATTTTGCCAATTCGGTCGATAACACCGTCTACGTATGGTAGATAGACAGTTTCTTGGTTTTTTTTTTTTTCACTAGTCTTGGTCTTATTTTCCCTTGGGCGCGTAGCGCGGGTTGTCTTTTTTGTTGTATCGGTTTGCTTGTAACACTGTTGTCTTGTTTCATTTAATGGCCATAACTGAGGTGAGTGGACTGCCCATGGCAACTTCGTCAATTTGTTCATATAATGTTTGATTCCAATGGAAATATGATGTTGTGAGCGAGTGTCGGAAAAGATTGATGAGCCCTGGAAAAAACTCCCCTATGTAACTGACTACTTCTTCGAGTGGCACATTTGTGAATAAAGAGATGATATCAAAGCTGGCTAGCTGATCGACGAAGTGCGTAGAGTCTTGCACGTAGGTTTTTGTCTTGCCCACGTGTGTTTGCTGAATTTCCGCCAGATGTTTGTCCAGGTTGTAAGTTGGTGATCCTATGGCACTTGATATTGATCTTAGTAGTACATTATTTTTGTGGTAGAACTTCAGTGGTGCAGATTTTGTTCTTTGTCTCTGGTGGTAGAGGTGACTCTTTTATTACTTTGGTGGTTTTTCTTATAATCTTCTGTGTTGGATCTTTCGTCAATTTCCTGTATGTGTCTTGAGTGGCCAGATGAAGAGTACTTTGCCCACGCCACTGAAGATGGCTGCCGCAGTTATAGCTGAAACGTTTGATAGTAACTTAACCAAGAAAGACCTAGGCATAACAGCCCGGGAACAAACAATTACATTGACGCCGGCCGGGAAAGCCTGCATTCTTACAAAAACTTTTTTTTATTATTAATGGTTACCCACCTTTTTACTATTTTTACCTTTTTTCTGAACAGTAATTAAAATAGTACAAAATATTGTAGGAGTTATAATTTGATAAATAACATGTATTTTAAATAAATAAACATAGTCGTATTTTTCCAATTTTCATATTTTTTCAAAACAAAAAAAGGGTAATTAATCAAGAATTGAACCAGCTATCACGGGTTTCTGATTTGATTTATGTAATTAAATATGTATATGAATCAGGAAAAGCAAAAATAGTGTAGGTAGTTGCTTTAAAATTCTTTTAATAATTTGTTGAAAAGAAATATCTGTCTATTTTTAAAAATGAATGTCAACAATTTAATCATTAAATCGATTTTACTATTAAAATAAAAGAAAGTCACACAATAACGGTTCATAATTTATTAGCCTTAGACATAAAAATAAATAATTTTTTTAAACGCCCTTTAGCCATATTAAGCTATTTGAAAAATATTTAGCTTTGTATCATTAAATTATCATTAATTTTATGAAAGTCAGGAAAAGCAAAAGAAATAGAAATACTCAATCATTAACTACAAATAACTTGTGAAAACCAAACAAATTTCAAATTCATGTAAGTAAACAACCTGACTTCATCATCAAAATATTCTCGAACCCTTGCTAGTAGATTATTTTTTCTCTTATTTTCGTTTTGGAGTGGTGGTTGCTTCTTTTCGGGCTAATTTCTAAAAGGTTTCAAACTCGACGCTAGTAGCAGTTCATTTTTAAAACCAATTGCTTTTGCAAAAACAACGCTAAATCTGAACGCAAACTATAGTTAATAATTTTTCCTTTTTCGGTTTTAGATAAAAAGAGACGTGTATATGATCAATATGGTAAGGATGGTTTATTGAACGGCAACAGTCGCACAAGGAGTCGACATGAAGATGAATTTGATTTCGGCGGTTTCGGATTCTTCTCGTTCCGAGATCCAGAAGATGTGTTCAGAGAATTTTTCGGTGCCACGATTTTTGATCTATTAGGTAAGTCCATTATACATATAAATGAAATTATTTTTGTGTCATCGCACATTGTATCAGATCTTTGTTTCACCCAAACCACATAGTATACATATTAATATTGTCTCAATTATTTGAAAATGAACAAATATGAACATTGTAAAAAAACTAAACAAGTTACCCATCTAAATCAAGTTAGAAGGATTAACTTTTTAACGAACACGTGTCGGAGATGACAATTTTGTGGATTCACTATATTCTGTAGTTGTTATTTTTGTTTCCTACCCTTTGCTCATATCGTTGGTGTGATGTTTTTAATTTTCGCGTAATTATTAGACATTCCAACGACCTGTCAAACTGCTGACAAGTGGTAACTGACATTTTAGATATGGCAACCCCGTGGACCTGTTGTCATTGACAGGGTCAATGATACATATGTAGTTATATAGATTGCTCAAAGGTGGTCGTTTGCGAGTGGCCATATTGCCTCGTAATTAGGCATTCCAAACAAATGAATTGCCAGTGGGAAGGTTTGGTATATCTAAGGGTGGCGACATACGGTGTATTCTATCTACTTTACGTAAAATCATGAATAATGGATTACATAATAATAATTAATAAAAATAGCGTCCAAGTTGCAAGACTATGTCGCTACCCCCTTAGATATACAAAAATTTCCCACTGGCACATATTGTTTGACAGGTCGTTGGAATGCCTAATTGCTCATTAATCAGAATCGGATTTGCAAAATTGTGTTTACAAACCCATATTCAGCCTTCGAATAAAGTAAAAAAATAATTATCTACATTTTGTACTTCAAGACATAAGCTTATGTTTATTTTGAAAAATATGGATCATCAATCTATGTAACTATTTATTTCATTGATCTCGTCTAATCACCAGGCCTACAGGGTTGCCATAATTTTGCCATATCATAGCCTGTCAAAACACTCGGTTCGTAGACACCACGGTGGCCTCTTTTTTTTAAAAAAACTAATGTATGAACTGCAGCAGAATATTTTCTGTCAACTCGATATTTCATTTCGTGACATCACAGTCTTCCTTAGCAACGGATGAAGAGGCTACCTAGGTGTCCATGAACCGTGGTCAAAACCCATTGGTAGCCATTTTGTTTGGAATGCCTAATTAAGGTTCTATGCATGGTATTATAAAAAGAAAGTATGATATTACTCCAGATTGATACTATACGTCACGGTGACGTAATGTGGTGGAAAGCGTGGGTTTTACGAATTTGACGTATCAGCTAATCGAAAACAGCGCGCGAAAATAAATTTAAAATAGCTCATGGCCAATCATATTCTACACCACAATACGTCATGCGCGAACTCGACGAGATTTCGTCGGCTAAGATTCATACCTCTGAATTTTTTTTTGTATCATGGGTTCTATGTACTAGGTTTCCGGCACTAAATCTTAGAAATCACTGCACAAACCAAACATTTAATAGTTTTATTATCTAAAAAGCAAGGTGTCATTTCAGATTCTATTCTATGGCATACTTGACTGTCAATGTACTAAATCGCTGTCAAATTAGTTGATAACTCGCAGTTTTCTTCTTAATTTAATAAAATTGTGAATTTTTACGTCCGATTCGACAAAAGTCTGAAATATTAAGAAATTTTAATGTTTTTCATTGTTGTTACATTGTCATTTTTCAGAATTTTCATTGAAACTATTACAACAGAAAAAAGACATTTGCTGGACTAAAATGAAATGTCCAGTTAATTTTGCGGTCCAGTATTTTCATGTCATCATCTGTTCCTGCAAATTGTCACATTTTCCCAGTGTGCGTTGAAAAGTGTACTTTTTTACATTAGACATTTTGCGATACAGTCCACATTCTATCAAAAGAACTCGATATGAAAAAGTTGAGCACAAGATGGGTCTCACGAATGTTAATGAAAACTCTGTTATTTTGGGACGTTAAAGGGGTAATTTTAATTTACTATGTATATTTTTTTTTCCACCTTTTCATAACTGGCCATAAGTTATTTAAATATGGTAACTATCATTTTGAATCGTGGATGTCCCTCAATTTCCAACCTTCACAAAACACCAACCCCCTTTGCAACTGTAGCAAACTAGCTAATTCCACTTTTTCTTGGACGAGATTCTTTCTGATTAACCCGGTGGTAGTGGATAAATGAATTTACTGCCTTAGTTACTGGCTCTTTTATGAAATTCTTGTTATTTCCACACAATTGGCACTAGTGTGTATATGCTCCTTCGGCGCGTATAGCTAATATCTCACTTTTTTGTGTTTTGTTTTACTATTAATAATCCCACACTTATTCTTAAGTTTTTTGTCTAAAGTATTCAACTTTATCATTTAATAAACTGTTTACTAATGTTAGTACACCTACGAATGCTATAAAATTGTTATGTATGTGATTTGTTATTAAGAAACCACCAAAGATCTTAGGTATGTATGTCGTTACACTACCAGTTATTGTCATCTTTATTAACACGGCCAACTTTTATAGGCTTGAAAATGGCTGTATAGCCGAAACCAGTCTCCTTGAATAATAATTTTTTTGTTCAATGTGGGATAGATTTAGAGTTTTATTTTCTCATAATATGACAGCCCTAAATTAATGGTTTAAAGGGGTTAGGGAAAGTATCTGTTACACACAAGTGCATTAAGAGAGATTATTTCGAAAAATAAAGTAATTGTTGAAACATTTTTATTATAACCTCAGAATATAGAAAACAACCCTCGTATATCGTAATCCCAAAACTTTTTTAGGTTCCTAAGTATTTCAAATCAACGTAGATAGTCAACAAAGATATTTTCTTTCAATATTATTATAATTATTATTATGATTTTTTTTGCAGATCCACACATGGCGAGAGATCAGAGACGACGGAACAGACATTCTCATCCTCAGAACGCGTTAAGCAGCGCCTCTCTATTCTCCCCCTTCGGATTACAATTTGGCGGTAGTTTGATGGACGACTTCTTCAATCCTGGCCCGCACGGCGGCGGCGGTTTCACCTCATTTAGTTCTATAAATACTTCGTTTAATGGATCTCCTAGTAACGCCAACGTCAAAAGAACCTCCACATCTACCAGATTCGCCAACGGGAAGAAAATAACTACTAAAAAGTAAGTAAATATCCCGAGTCAGTGACCTATATTTGTAAGTGACCTATGACAACTTACGTGGCCTATGCACGCCTTAACAAATGTTTTAATTACTTGTTTAATTATGTATATTTTTTCAAAATAATATTTTTACACATTCTAATAGCAGAGTTGGATCGGATACATGAAAAAAAAAAAAAAAATCTGAGTACCGGATACATACTGGATACAGATACTCAAAGTGTGGTATTCATAGTCAGTCTTCAGCAACTCGTCCCTTTTGAAATTACACTTGGCAAACCGCCGGAGACTGACTATGAATATCATTAAAGTACGGATACTTTTAAAGTGAGTTATAATTTATTTATTTAATATAATAAACGAGGAAGACCCCTTTTTAGAAAATTTATTATATTACTATTTTTTATACCAGTGGTTATAATTTATTAATACAATGAGATTTAATACGAGTAACAACACTAGGCATGTATATATTAAAATTATATTTTTATATCAATAGTTATAATTTATAAATATAATGGGATTAAATATGAGTAACAATACTAGACATGTATATGCCATTCAGTTTCTTTTTAAATCCGGGTTTCTATGAAAATCGAACATCGTTTACTCTATATAGTAATACTGACACTATTTCCTTTTCTTTGCAAGTAGCCCGGCAAAAAATTAAACGTTGTTATGTCGCTTTCCGTTTTTATTTGATATTTTAAACCTTTTCATTTGTGAAATTCTTATATTTCAAATTTTAACCATTTAAAAGATTGGTATCTGTTTGGGCTATAAGACAAGGCCGTGGAAAATAATAAATCGAAAGCTAGACGTAACCACATACAATTGAATCTAAAGTATACTTTTGATTCTTACAACATGGCGTTAACATCGAAATGACGGTCTCAAATTTGGAAGTCCCGTTTTTACAAAATATCCATTGCTAAAGTGACCATCAAACTTTAAAAATTATACCTGTATAAAAAATATTTTAATTTAATTATCAAGTGCAGTGAAAAAGTGATGGCAATAGTCAGAAATCGAAAAAAAGAAGAATGAATTTACAATATTTATATCGGTATTCTGGTTTGGGAGACCCTATGAAACTTAATTTTAATTTATAACCGTCATTGAGTTGTATATTTGTTTCGCAGGAATTTTTAATATCGTTTGTAGTTTACCCACCAGGCTTCGTTCGGTTGAGGGTAGCGCACACCTTGTATACATATTTTTCTTTTTCGGGACTTAGGTGCGTCGATAGGAGATAGGGTAGGAAAGGTGTCGGTTTAGGAAGAGCGTCAGTTTATGAAAAGTACTGAATACTGAAATTGAAATACAACTAAATTTGAAAAGCAACTGAATTAGACTGGATTTAACATATTGAATGAATATCGAGTTCCTTGAGATTGGGTATATTCCCGTTTTAATGACTTTTTGTGACATCAATTTGTCGTAACTCCGGTGGGAACGAATTTGGGTGGATAATAAATATAGTTTAAAAAAACTAAAAAAACACGCTTTTAGAGCATATCAAACTAAAAAGTTAAAAATAATTTTTCAAATAAGATTAAAACAATAATAAATGGAAAATACTAGTATTATTGTGAAAAAAGCGTCGGGCGCTCGATGTACGAGAAATATGGACAAAGCGCCCCACGTTTTTTTCACAATAATACTAGTATTTTCCATTTATTATTGTTTTAAGCTTATTTGAAAAATTATTTTTAACTTTTTAGTTTGATATGCTCTAAAAGCGTGTTTTTTAGTTTTTTTAAACTATATTTATTTTTCACTTTTTAGTTCGATGTATTATAAAAGCGTGTTCTTTAGTTTTTTTAAACTATATTTACTTTTACTTTTTAGTTCAATCGAACTAATTAATCAATTATTAAAAAAAAAAAAAATTTTTTTTCAGCCGTGGGAATTAGAACCCACGATCGGTGAGTCTTGCAATCGAAAACTTGACTTAGTAGGATATACTGACAGTAATAAGCCACTTGAGTCCAAAGGAGAGTTACAAACATACATACATAAAGGTGAAGCTAATATAAGCGTGTTAAAAAAAGGGTGGTAGATTTAATATGTGCCTTCAGAAATTCTCTGAATTTTGTGTCGAAATCGTTGTTAATATTCGAAACTGACTTAAGGATTATATGGACCCTCGGAAAAAGTATCTACACGTTCAAAATTTCTGAAAAAATTTGTGAATGTATATACAACCTTAAATATTATTTTACCAAAATTTGATCCGGTTTGCATCATTTGTTCTCAATAAAAATCGGAAAATGTACTTTTTTACAAGTATAAAACAAAGAAACTAAAATATCAAGAGAGATCATTATTTCATAAAATAAATTAGTTTTGGTTAAGAAATTTACATACATTTTTTAAAAATTTTTGAACTTGCAGAAATGAAGTAATTGAAGAATATATATATATATTTTATTCACAAAAATTAGATTTAAACTATAAAAATTAATATAATATTATAGAATATACCTTCAATAATTATATTTGAAGACATTGACCTCGAAACATTAATAAGTTTTTTTTATAAATTTAGTGAAAAATTCAATTAAACAATAACACTATTTTGAATTTCCTCTTTCAAAGCCTTATCTCTGAGAGGTGCTGCCATCTCAATCAGTACTTTCTAAAATTGCTCACAGAGAGCACTAAATTTCCTACTCAAACAGAAATTTCGGATGTCCGCGTACACCAGCGCTACCTTCTTGCCAGATCGAGTTGTATTACTAAGTCCGCTGGATTAAATAAATATTTTTCTATTAATAATTCGGTCGATGCATACCTATTCATTTTACAGATTATTTGAATTATTTAACTATTAAATGAAAGGTGCATTCTGAATGATGCATGTGTTTTTTCAATTAAAAAAGTTTAACAGATGTTTACCAAATATCTGTATCATGTTAATTGCATGTTGATTAGTTTTTGGTAGAAATTGGATCGTAGGAAGAGACTTAAGAGGGTCGGCAGATTAAAACAATAGGTATTTAGTAATTAAATTTTTTCTGTTGAAAAATATAAATTCGTAAAAATCTGATTGGCTTAAAAACCATAATAGTACCTAAGTAGGTATTTGATATTTTTTTTCCCAAAAAAAAAATAAACTATTTCTATTATAAATAAATTTATTAAATATACCTACAAAAAAATAAATCATTGCTAAACATTTAATAAAAATAGTTATGGTTTTTCTAAGGGACAATTTTTTACCATCAGCACTCAAAGTAAAACAAAAGTATTTAACATATTTTGGTGCGTTTAATAGTGCAAATTCTCGAGCTGAGTAAAAACACTTTACTTAAAAAAATTTTAGCATCATCTACCAATCCATCCGGTGAATTTCCTAAGAAACGATAACCTTTTTCTAAACAGATGAATAAACCACATTCATCAACTGTATTCTTTGTAAGAGAAACATGTTTCAATTGCAACAGTTTCGTTAAGTTTAACATCTATATCTGTAACGTGTAGAGGATGGGTTAACCCACGGCACTTAGGCCTTACTAAACCCATTTTGCATCCTCCTAAATAGATCGGCACCTCCTAGCTCGTGAGCCAGCCTACAGATTTAATGTAGTTGACACCATTGCCAAGAGGTGGCTTTCTTATATCGAATGCTGTTAGCCAATTATCACCGAATACAAATTATTTAATAAATGTGAGCATCAGGCAATCGTAGACGTATGCTCAATGCTACCATCTTTTTGTTTGCACCCCTTGTAGAGTGCGGATTCTGCCAGCCCCATGACATGGATATGCTTTCCTACTTGGCAGTGACTTATCAGAATGCCTGTGATCAGGCATCTAGTCATAGTCAAGTATTTGTTTGCTGTAGTGTTGTCAGGATAACATGAAAGCTCCCTGCATCTTCTTGTTTCATCCAATGTTTCCTTGAACTTCACAAGGGAATGTCCTTTAATTAGGCTTGTCTCTACCGATGTTGTCAGTCCAATATAAGTATTTGGTTGGTTGCCTGCTAGCCTAGTGAATCAACAAGACGGTTACCTTTTAATGTGACGTGACCTTTGATCCATCTTAATTGACCACATTATTGATGGGTACTTCGGCCAAAGCTTCATGACATTCTAGTACCAATCCTGAGTAAATTCGTGGTCTGTCCAGGGGGAGTACAGCATGTCTGCTATCTGTATAGATGGGCATGTTCCTTCCTGTGATATTGTTTCTGGTGATTTATTTTGCTGCTATGATAATCTCCATGAGCTCGGTTTGAACTACACTGGCATTACTGCTCACAGCCCATTTTATGTTTAGGTTTAAAGATGTGAAGTATATTCCACATCCTAAGCATTGTTTTGTTTTAGAACCGTTGTTGTAGGTGTGAATCGTACTTGCCTCTTCCGGCTCTTCGATTTGTTTTGTTATAACTTTAATAATAAATATTGTGACGCTTCGTATAAATTCACATTTTTCCAAATTTTAATTAATTATTTAAATAACACCCTGTACGTAAAAGTTTGTTTAATTATGTCGTGAATTGGTTTTAAGTTGCAATTATGTACAAAATTGATTATTTAATAATTATTAAATATTAGTTTAATAACAATACACTATGCAGAAGTTATAAAGGTAACCTCAAAGAGACACACAGGGCGTTTTTCACAATAGAGGATCCTCTTCATCGGGTCCATGAAAAAGCCTCCTTGTAGGATATTCCCAGTAGCGGTTCCTCATCACTGAGACTTCGACCGAAGGCTCTGGATCTCCATCGTAGAAAATTAAAAGTCCTTTTGTATTTTAAATTGCGGTTTTAATAAATTGTTGTTACATGTGTCCCAGATATTGCAGTTGGTAAGCTAAATTGTTTTAAAAATATTTATTATAGTGTTGGTCCATATTTGTGTATGTCCAGCTGTGAAGTATTTTGTAGAATTGTTTTGTTGCACAGAAATTGTTAGCCCTTAAGATAATGGAATAGGCATGATTTACAAATAATATTCCCGGGTAAAGCAGTTTAGTCAAAACAGTCAATCACTGTAGTTGTAGTTTGTTCGACTGCTCCCTAGAACAACGTGTTATTCGGCTTATATTTTAAAACTCATAAATTGCTGAATATTAAATATCATATTTCCTAATAGAAATACTATTTGTTTTAAAAAAACTTTGTGTTTTCTTCAGCCCTTTTACAGAGACGTGTTAGGTCCTAATGTCAAGAGAAGGATCCTGGTACAGTTAAGGGCTACGCAGCCAAGTTCAAGGCATATAATTATTGAATGGTCACCCCTAAATTCATTAATTGTGACATATTTTATTAAGAAACATGCAAAACGTGAGAATATCAAAAGAAGAAATACCAAATTTTAACAAATTTTCTAGCAAAGAGTTATGTCCTTTGCAAATAGATGTAGTAGTCATCTTTGAAGTTTCTATATTTTTGGTTACTGATTTCGCAAATCCACAATTGGAACATTTAAAAAATAATTTTGAATTTAATCCTATACTGAATTCTCTGACAAATGCTAAATAACCAGTTTTTTGTTATGCAACATTTATGACTTCCCAGTGATCTTATATCACTAATGAAATGACGATTCGTCTATCAGAGATGAAAAATGGGTACGTCATTGTATTAGCTCTTTGCCTATACAGGAATTTTCAATGAAAATTATTCACTCTAAATAGTTTTAAAAGTTAGGCTTTTATGAAAAAATACAATAATAAGTCGAAAATCATATAAAGGGATAATTCTGCTCCTGTATATTCGTTGTAACTTTCACGGTCTCCTCCCCATGACCACTCTTCTTTTTTTTTAATGAGACACCCTATATATTAGTAAGACAATAACTCAAAATCAATCCCATATAAATTAATTTTATTAAGTTAAATGACAACCGGTTTTGGCCTTAGGACATCATCAGGTCTAAAAATTAAGTGATAAGCGCTTACAAAACACTACTAGGACGTCCCCATAAAAAGGTTAAAAAAATACACGTGCATGATTAAAACCGAGCCCCAACAAGGTTAACGAAGTTGTAAGAAATATCATGTGTGGGACATGTTGATAAATGTGGGAATATGGCGATGAATAGTGTTAGCTTATAAGTTTCTTTACGCAAACCTTTTTCAACTTGTACAATTTCTATCATATTTCCCACATATGGTACTTCTTGCCTTTTTAATCATACACGTGTATTTTTTTTTTAAATATTTTATGGAGACGTCATATTATATTGTAAGCGCTTATTACTTAATATTTAGACCTAATGATGGCCTAATCCCGAAACCGGTTACCATTTAACTTCATAAAATTAATTTATGTGGGATTGGTTTTGAGTAATTTTCTTACCTGTGTATACTATCACATTTTTCTACTCTTTTATACTATTCGATTTCAAAAATGTATACCTGAGGTGTACATTGAATCGTTTGGAAGTTGCATTTCTTGAGCTTTTGTTTGCGTTCTTTCTTTCTTTCCCTTTCTCCTTTCTGTCTATTTTTTTTTCTTTCTCTTCTCACCTTTAAAATTATGGATAGTTTTCATTGAAATTATATTTCAATTTTTTGACTGCGCGAACTGAGTCCATTCGCCAAACCACATAGATTATATTATGTGGACCAGTGGAAGACTTAACAAAAGCTCGCCAGGTCATATCCATCTCTTAGCTGGATCGCTTGGGCCGTCCGCGCTAAACACCTCACTTCACGCGGCTTACAATATAAACAAATAAAACATAATTATATTTAAGTTTGGCAACGTTCTTCGTATCGAATCATGAAGATCTCCCGCGTAATCTATTATTGTGCTAGCAGTCTCTTTTGGCGACGATATAAACTAACGAAATATTATTCTATCACAGATAGAACCCTGTAACTTTAATAAATTTTGTAATAAATTTGATTCGACAGGTAAAGCCATCTCTAGAGTCAGAAACGAGTGATAAACCTTAAGTGTGTTAACTGTTCTAATGATTATTACTTCCCGAAAAGAAATGTTTTTTGGAGATTTTTGGGTCGAATTCTCATGGGATAACTTTTAATCTTTTCTGGTTAGTGGGCTTGTACATGTAAATATTAGAGACCTCGCAAACAGAAATATTGCTTGTAATTATTAGGCATCATAGATAAGATTTTATTATCTAAAATATTTTTTGTAAAATTAAGGAATTTGAATTCAATAAGAATGCAACTTTTCTTTAATAAATTATGAAGGTACCTGGACGCGGTAGGTAAAAGTACATGTATTTTTCAACTTAGTCTAACAGGTGTCAAACGGGCAATATTGATATTATAAAGAGGTTCTGTCTATACGTATATCATTAGTTTTAGTTCTGTTTTACAAACAACTTTATCTGTTCTACTTTGTTTGTAAATAATGTACTTAAGCCATTTTGAATTAATTTTTAGTAGAACTTTAAATACATAACTATAGGATTGGGATACGCCTGTACAAATTACGAATACTGAAAAGATTATTATTTTGTCCGATATGGATATCAAAAAATTTTGAAAAAATAAACCGGATATAGCTTTTGGGTTCATATAAAGTATCCAGATACTACCCAACTCTGTCTAATAGAATTTGTTTAATCTATTTTGGTATGTACACGTATTACAATAACACCCTGCATAATAATTGATGACTAGAATTGCTCATTGATGTGTTTTTTGTTACAGGATTTTCGAAAATGGAAAAGAAACAGTACTGTCCTATGAAAACGACGTTCTAAAATCAAAGACTGTGAATGGGGTGGCGCAAAGTATAACTTACAGTTAAATTATTTATTTCATAATTTTTTCCACGATTAGCCTAATTGTAGTAGTACTTACACATAAACCCTTCAATAAAAAACACACATAACTATGTGATTGATGTACTGTGTTGCCCCCCAATTGAAGCTCAACGCTCTTAGATTATTATTATAATTATTATTACTAAGTGAGAACATATTTTCTGATTCTGATTGTATTTGCGAACGATGTGTAATGTTTTTAGAGCAAAAAGACCAATCGCGTTTCGTTTCGACTATTCTAGAATATTCTTAGTTTTATTGTATAATTGTCGTCTAATGGCAAACTGATCTACTAAATGTTATTGTTAGTCAATAAAAGTGTTGCTGTAATACATTGATAAATAATAAGCATTAAAGCACATTCAACCCTAAACTCCAGATTTTGCTGATCACTAATGACTACTAAATTTACTTGCGGTTTATCTCACGTTTTATTTGAGCCGTGCGCCTGTAAGACCGATTTATCTGTGAGTCGAAGAATATCATTCATGATGGCGTCTGATTATAATATATAATTTTTTGATGGTATTGTTCTTTATATATCTAATGTATAAATATTAAGATGCGGTAGGTTAATGTTTAAGGCATGAAATAATTTATTGAATTGACGATGTTAAAAAGTGGAATTGTATTCTAGGGATTGTTTCAGTGTGTTTATGAGACAGCGAATTGTAAGATGTGGGCCATTTTAAACGAATTATCTTGAGATGCAGCTTCAAAATTGTGTTATCCGAATTTATTTTTTATTAAAAAAAAAAACTTGTTTTACTTTTCCGACAAACTCTTATTTTAGCTGTGTACACTTCTGCCATACTTTTATGAGCTTCAGGATTACCTCATTATAGAACCGCAAAATTCTTGACATCCTCATCGTCCTCGAATCTGACGCCGCTCAAATATTCTTTCAGATGGCCAATACAAATGGGTAAACACAATCTGGACTATAAGGAGGATAATACATTTTATTCAGATGCAATTTGGTCAATGCGTTTTTAGTCAGTTGAGTGGTTTGATGTCTCGAAGGAGTGTTTTTGGGTGAAAAGCAGGTTCAACTTTTACATACAATAGTTGACAATAATCAAAATACGCGTCGCCATAGTATTTTCAACTTTTGCTTTTCTGTATGTTTTGTGACTCTACACTAAACCTGATTGCTTGCTTTTTGGAACAAAGTCATACACCTAAGTTTTAATAAAGAGTAAATAAGTTTTTCAGAAATGCTTCTCTTTGTTCAAAGCTTCTTAAAAGCTCTGCTGTAACTTGAATTCGTTTGTTTTTTTTTTCCTAAGGAAAACAGCGTTGAAGAACCACCCTGCACAAATTTTTATAAACCTCAATTTCTCATTAATTATATTTTTTTTTACTTTTTATCACTGCTTGTGCTTCTTTCCAAGTAATTTTATACAAACCACACAGAAATCATGACGAGGTAAGTAAATGTACGTAGGCTATACCTAGTTCCACTTTTCGAATGTTTAATTTTGCTTTTGGAGGAATTTGTTTAAAATGGTCTTGTATAAATATTGAAATAAGATTTTTCGTTTTATTTTTCGTTTTATTTTTCGTTTTTTTTTTTAATTTTTTTTAAGTGAATTTCAGTAAACTGTTACCAATTTCTATGACCTCACTACATTGGCTTGTGCAGTGAATTGACTGTAATTAGAATTAACGATAAGATTATGCTTCTAAACTGCAAATTTGAATAGCTTGTAAATTTGTCATGTTTATTCTAAATTATATTTACTATAGTTAAAATTGTAATAAAAGTTACAACCTTATATGTAAAGCAGTTTTTTTAATACATATACCCGTAACAAATATAGTTAATATGTCTTTGTTATCGGCCAACTTAGCAGATATAATTTCATATCTGAACACGTTAGGATATGAATTCCACAAATTACAATCCATGTATGTTTTTGAAGGCGAAAATCATTTTCAGGTAAGTTAGAGTAAATGTCTTTTATAAATTTGGTAAACTAAAAGTAACACATCTACGTCATTACTTAAATCGTTGGCGATCGCCACCGCCTGAGTTAGTGGCCTAATGGCCATGTTAATATTGTCACACTGGTTTATGATAAACACTCATTTATTTTCAAACTCAATTTTGGCAATACAACTAATAACATTAACATACAACGGCTATCATAAAACTCAATTGTGACATCAAAATCATCGCTTTATATGGCTCAATTAATTATCTCACAAGTTCCAGATATTTCTAGACATGGAACGGTAATATATTTCGCCCTCATTTTCAGTGTGCTCTCTTTTATTTGCACGTATACCTATAAAAGCAGCAGGGTACAGGGTAAGATTATTCCCTCTGTAAGTATTCGCCCCGAATAACTCGATTACTGGGACCTGGTTGGAGCCAACGGGGAAGGTCTGGTTCACGGTATGGCGATAACTTTTCAATGTGAATACCTTGGGTTTACTTTCAGCTGACAACTGAATGCAGTAGATCAGGTCGTTGATTTTCTTGAGGATGGTGTAGGGTCTTCCCAGTTTCGTTGCAGTTTCTGACAAATTCCTTTTTGTGCTTGGGTTTGTACAGCCATACTGAGTCGCCTCTCTAAAAGTGTATCCCTGTGGCATGTATGTCGATTCTAGCTTTTCATTTACCGCTGTTGACTTTCAGACGTTCCCGCGCGAATCCGTAGACCTTCTCTAACCATTCTCTTAAGTTCCGTATCTACCTGGGAGGCGTACGGCCCTCTTCTTCACCAGGAGGCTGTCTTCTAAAAAGAAGATCATGTAGAAGCTTCATCTCCCTTCCAGTAATCATCATAGATGGAGTATAACTGGTCGATTTATGTTCAGAGTTTCAGTAGGCTAGCAGAAATAGAGGAATTAAAGTGTCTCAGTCCTTTTGGTTTTCTGATACGAACGTTGAAAGATACTGGCAAATGGTGTCTTTCTACCATTCCGTCGGACTGTGGGTGGAGTGGCGCAGTGTGTGTTTTCCTGATGCCTAAAACTTTCATCAATTCTTGCCATAATTCGGATTCAACATTTCATTCTTGGTCAGGATGCAATTTCAGAGGGACTCCTTGTCTCGCTATGACGTTCGTCATGAATGCTTCTTCTACTGTCGTCGCTTGCTGATTAGGAATAGGCGCTATATCGGACCACTTTGAAAATAGTCCATAACGACCATAAAGTATTTGTTTCCCCTCTCTGTTAAGGGAAGTGGTCCGAGGATATCTATGGCGATTCGTTCGAAAGGTTCTCCGGAAAGGCACTACCATTTTACCTCGGCTTCTTGTTTTAGGTCTTTTTCTGCTATTGCATAAATCACATTTGTTACATCAATCTTATACATCCCGTCGGCAATTGAACCAGTAACATCGTTCCCGAACTCGTGGCGTATCTTTTTAGTACCAAAATGTCCTCCTGAGCGGCTGCTATGAAGCTTTTGACATGCGATTTCGGTAGTACCAATTGGCGGACTATATGTACTCCATCGGGGCTCTCCCACTTCCGATGAAATAGGCCCGTATCTTTTTATACCTTCACTATATTTTGCTCTCTTGGCAATTAGGTCTGACTTCATTTTTGAGCCATTCTCGGACAATCTTTGAGTCTTTCTTTTGATTTTTCCTTAGGCTTTCAAAGGTGATTCCGTCTACGTCGCCGTCTGGCTTTATAATGGTTGCCTTAACTTCTTCAACTGGCTCCTCTCGTTCTTCGAGCCTTTTACAGTACCGGCATTGTGCTACACAGTGTCGCCTGGAAAGAATATCTGCGTTGCTATGGTGACGGCCTCTTCGATGCACTATCTCGAAGTTAGATTGTTCTAGTCTTTCTATCCATCTAGCAACTTGTGTTAGTTGTTGTGATAGTTTTGACAATAGCTAAAAGTTATTTCCTAGTGACACAATAATTCTTATCTTTCCCCAAGGTCTTACTAAAATACGCAATTATTTTATCTTCTCCTGTTCTTGTGATAGCACGGCGCCCACGCCTTATTGGGATGTGTCGCAGTCCAAAATGAATTTTCCTGTTTTTCCCGAGAGTAGGCTAGGATGGGTGCCGTGGTCAATGGCTTTTCCAACTTGCAGAAGACATTTTGGATATCCGGCGTCCAGTCAAATAGACTACTGTTTTCAGTTAGTCGATGAAGGGGTTTAGCAATTCGGCCAAAGTCTGACGAATTTCCGGTGTATGAGCATAGTTCAAGAAAACTCCTAATTTTCCTTTTGTCTCTTTGTTCAGACCAATCTCTGATAGCTGCAATTTTTCCGGGTCATTTTTGATTCCTTCTGCGGAAACGATGTGTCGCAAATAATAGGCTTCAATTCGGACAGTGAACATTTATCGTGTTTACGCTTTATATTGGCATTTCTTAATACGTCACTCAAATTTATTAAATGTTCGTCAAAAGTTTTTGACATGATCGTTATGTAATCGAGGAATACTAGACAAGTTTTACAGGTTAATCTTTTAACAACCATTTCCATTAGTTGTAGGTAGCTGGGGTTATCAAACGGAAGAACCTGTAATCGGTATAATCCGCTGTCAGTTGAAAAAGCTGTTTTGTCTCGATCGTCAGGGTGTACTTCCACTTGCCAGTATCCGCTCTTCCGTCTAGAGTGGAAAACCATTTCGCACCTGATAGAGCGTTTAGTGTGGTGTCTATCCGGGGAAGTGGGTAGCGGTCTTTTTGCGTTATCTAATTGAATCTCTTGTAGTTTACACAGAAATGAGTAGATTCGTTTTTCTTAGTTACTAGGACCATAGGTGAGCACCTCACACTTCTTCAATAATATTTGCATCCATCATGTCCTGTATCATATTTGCTACTTCTTTCTGTTTAGCAAATGATAGTCTTCTAGGTGCTTGCCTTATTGGCCTTGCATCGCCTATATAAATTGTATGCTGATCCAAGACTGATATGTCTCGTAAATTTTCCTGTTTTGAAAATTTCTCAGTTAGTATTGATAAAAGGTCTTTTCCTTTGCGTCGAAAGTGTAGCACTCAAATAATTTGTTATTTCGATCACTTTTTGATCAATTAATATTAGATATTTGGAATTTTCAATCATATGTTATTTAATATTTTGTTTTCGATTATATGGTTTCGATCAGATGCTTTTCGAACAATTTTATTTTTCATTATGTTCATACCAAGGACATACTGATCCTTAATATCGGCCACCAGAAATAAGTGTTCTATCACGGTATTACCAATATGTATGGTTGCTAATAACTCTCCTAATAGTGTGCCCAGTAGCTGTTTTCAGAACTAAACTTCTTCGAGTTGGTCAGAGTTTTCGATGCGGGATCCCTGTTCGACTTGATTGCTCCAGTATCAATGACGAAGATGCATTTTTGTTTGTCGATATACCTCTTAACCAATAAATTTTGTTCGTTTTTATATAAGGTGTAAGTGCGAATTTTAGGGCTCTCTGTTACAGCCGACGCCTGTCTGTAGTGTCGATCTTTGCTAAAAAGCCGGATAGGTGTTGGTGACCTGCTTCTCCGGGAAGCATATCATTCTGGCTGTTTTGTTGCATATTTCTCTCAATTTTGCGCGAGAATATCTGCCTCATATTTCTGGGCTGCAATCAGTGTCTCGAGGTGTTGTAGTCGAAGAACATATTGCATTTCCACATACTGCGGTCCATCAATGAATGCCTGTATGCCGATTTGTTCTAGGAAATCTTTGGGTGTCTGTAGATAGACCAGATGCAGCATTCTTTTTATATCGGCCTCGAATTCTTGTAGACTCTCATTATGTTTCTGACTACGAACCTCAAATGCTGCTGGCCATACCTTGTCACCAAAGCTTAGACGAGAGACAAATAACTGGGTTCCTCTTGGGGAAGTAACTGCAAAACGGTTGCTGCCTGTCTTCACATCGACAATATCAATAAGGCCGCTATCTCTTTATCGACCCAGCCATTGGCTCCATTTGCAGCTTTAAATTGAAGTCTATATGTTTCCCACGTTGTTCGACAGTCAAACTTGGGTGGCTTAAGGGTCTTGCTAGTGTGGTTTTGTGAAACTAGGTTTCGAATGTGGCTTGGTTCAGTTATAGATGTAGTGTTTTCAATTTCCCCGTTGCTTACCGAAGCCTTGCTACGAATTCTTCTTTTTAATTCAACCACTTCAGTTCTAATTTGTCTTTCCGAATCTACTCTAACATTTTCTTGTTATTCTCAATTAGCTTTTAAATTATCTTATTGCTCTAAATTAGTTTTTAAATTCTCTTGCTGCTGTTCTAAATTAGTTTTTAAATTATTTTGTTGTGCTAAGAGATCTACTCGAACGTTAAGCTGACCTACCTCTTGTTTGAAGTTTTCTTGAATTTGTAGCAAATCATTAATAATTTCTACTTCTGCTTTTCTACGCCTCTCCTCCTTCTCTTCTTCCTCGTCCTTCCTGCGCCTTTACTTTCCCTCTTCTTCCTCCTTTGTTACTTTCCCTCTTCTTCCTCCTTTGTGTGCCTTTCTTTCTCCTCTTCTTGCCTTTTTTTCTCCTCTTCTTGCCTTTCTTTCTCCTCTTCTTGCCTTTCCTTCTTCTCTTCCATCTTCAAAAACCATACTGGGGGATCTGGAGTATCCAGCCTGTTTCGTACAGAGGGGAACTAGTATTTACATAATACATGAACTGAACATAATACTTAGATAACTTTTGAATCCCACCGCCGTCACCAAATGTTACACTAGTTCTTGGTAAACTCAGTTTATTTCCAAACTCCAACTTTTACAATTAACGATACAAATATTGACAATTTTTATTTGTACTTTTACTTATAATAATCGCAGCGCACTGTAGGGTAACATTGCACTTTTTCTATCATTCGTACGTTTACCTATAACAGCCGCATATTACTGCAGGGTAACAATATTATGCCCCCATTTCTGGAATTAGCCAGTTGGTGGATTTTTACCACCTCGATGGTAAATGCCCAGGTGAAACCATCGCCCTGCTTCACAAGGCGATTTATATTATTTTCAAGATTGTATTCATTTAAAAGTAAGTATATCACTGTAATAGTTGCATTAAAAATAATTTAGTTACATATCTTTAAACTAATTTTTTACGATTTCAAAACTAACTCAGTGTGTTTACAGACAATTAAAAAATTATGAGTTGGATTTTAAAGCCATTTGACGGTCTAGTGAATTAAGTTATAGACTCAAATTGAGACAACCAATACATAATATAGTGGTTTACAGTTTTTATATAATAGAAAATGTGAAAATTTTAAGAAGGACCGTCATCTTCATTTTTTAAATACAACGTAGTTCATGTTATACATCATTTGAAAGAGCTTGCTAATTACAGAAATTAATCGTAATCAGGTTTTGATGATTTTTTTATTTTCAAAATTTTTCTTTAAAAGTTGGTTTTTATTTACATTTTCAAATCAAATAAGAAATTACATTGGAACTGATATTTTCGTTTTTAGATAAGTTCGGACAGACAAGTTCCATTCACTCCCTTATAGTGTTCGGTTCAGTCCGATTAGTGATAGTTTAACACGACAGTTTAACGCGCTTAAATGTCATTTAAAAGCACCCTTAAAAACTCCGCTCCTATCTCGTTCCAGCCCGTGGCTAATCCGAACGCTACTCTTGTATATGGATGTATACCAAGAATTAAATTAAAAAATAAAAACATTACGAATTAATTTGTCTATTTTTACAATTTAATTTTATTAATCTATTAGTTACAGACAATTAATTTGTTGATTCGCCGTTGAAACATTATGGAACTCTCCTAGAACACATCAGTATTTTTAAACCTTTCTTATGAGACATCTTTTTCAGCTTTCAGCAGTCATACATTTCCTAAAATGATTTTAATGAGTATTTGAACACATTGTTAAAAAATTCAATTCAGTAATTTTCTACGATCATTATTTCTCGTATTTGTCTCCTAAGCTTTTTGATAAATACCACTGTTCTTTTAATATTTTCTTTTTATGCGTAATTGGTATATTTTCCGAAAATCGCCCATCCAACTCAGACCTCGGATATTTAGATTTTTTTGCGTGTTTGTATTTATACGATTTGTATTTATCGTTTTTGAAATATTTATCATCGGGATATTTGTTGGGTTTCTGCTTTTTGGGTTTACGTTGTTTCTTAGGATAGTAGTTAGTTTTTGAATAGCTTGATGAACCACGTTTGTTATCTTCTTCAGCTTCTTCCTCGATCTCTTCAAAATTATCACGATCTCTGTAATTCAGAAAAAAAACTTTTTATTGTTAAGAAATTAATTAAATTTCATTAAACTCACTTATGAAGTTCTTCATCTTCTTCATCAAAATACTTTTCAAACGGAGATTCATATTCGTCATGATCATTTTCATATTCCAGCTTCTCTTCAGTTTCTTCCTCGTCTACATCGTCCTTTTCGTCGTCTAGCGGCTTTTCCACTGGTCTGTGTCTAGGTTTCTGATTCTGAGGTTTTTCCACGTGGATAGGCGTGTCGATTGCTTGATGATGAGATATTGGTGGCGGTCTAAATTGGGTTTGTGGGTTTGTTGTTATTAATTGTTCACTGCGTGGTACATTATTCCTAAGAAACACAAGTATAATAAGTAAACCGTACTGTGGACATGAACAAATGTACCTACCTTGGAAAATGGTTAACATAGCTAACGATAGGTTTGCTATGACTAAACTGAACTGTATGCCCTTGAGGCACAAACTGTTGACCGTGCCCGTGTGGAATAAACTGTTGACCGTGCCCGTGTGGAATGAACTGTTGACTCGAATGGAAAGATGAGGGATTTTGCGGGAAATAATTTGGTTGCGGATGAGTAGAATCCACAATAATTTTTCCATAAACGTATTTTTTGGGTTCGACGAATGTAGATTGAACGTTGTACAGAGGATGTTGCTTGATATTAAAAGGCTGCACGTGGTTTTGTACGAAAGCATTATGTTGCGCTGGTGCTACTATCGTTTCTGACGTCATAATACCGTTTGGTGAATTATTTGACGGCAACGGTGGAGGTGGTTTCAAGTCTTGTTCGAAAAGTTGCTTAACGTGAACGTTAGATATTGAATCAGTTGGTGTTTGTTGGAATTCGTACAAAACGTGTTCAGCTGCCACCTGTAAAAGCCAAAAGATTATTTACTTATTATTAAACAGAACTGGATGATACTAATCTTCATACACATACATTTAAATGTGGTACACATACCCACATTCGTTGGTGATTCAAATGATTTGACCTGACTCACCTTTGGTTCGATGACCTTAACTGGTTGACTAAGGTCCACCAGAGCTAGAGGTTTTGCTTGATAGTACATGTTCGTAGGCTTCGGTTCGTAGTAAATTTTCATGTTACTGGCTAACGGTACAACCAAACTGGAATCTCCATAAGATTGGATATCTCTGGATAAGTTCCTTTTGGTTTTGTTGTAGATATTTGTGGAATTTTGGGCGTCCACCAGCCATAGTAATAATAAACACCCGACTATTCCAAACTGTAAAAATGGTTTGAAATTGTGTTTAAATGTTTTTTATTTTACATTCAAATTGTGCGCCTATATTTTTTGGTTAATATTATTAGGTACTCAAAACTAATTTTTAATTTATAATAAGACAAAATATCGCAATATCGAATAATAAACAAAATATACATTTTGACAAGTTTTATTGTTTTTCCCAGAAATTCTGGCTTTGTATTCTAGGTGTTGTCTGTAAAATTGGCTCAAACTCTTAAATCAATAAACTGTTAAACTAAACTTTCATTATTTACGTCTACAATGTATATCAACGTTGATAAATTCGAAACAATGTTATTGTGATGCAATAAGGAGAATAAAACTAAAAATTGGAACACACTGTAACATCAAAATTTCGCAAAAACAAAACAATGTACTTACACAGGAATACTTCATGTTGGTCTTAGAAGCGACAGACGTTTAACTAAAAGAGAAAATACGTCTACAAATCTTTTATACTTTCACTGTTATTATATTGTTTGAAAGTGAAAATAAAACAAAATAATTTTCAATTTAGAATTTTTCAAGAGCATTGATGCTATTAGTTTCTTTGATAGTTTTCATAGTTGAGTGAGAACATGAGGTGATTTGAATGTAGATAAATTAAGCAGGTAATTGAAATTGATGGTATTTGAATTATTTGTTTTACATTTGCGGTTTACAGTCTACTGCGTTTTTGATTGTCAATATATTTATTTTCTTGCTTGGAATTCGGAAGTTGCGGAATTATTACTTTCTTCTAATTTAGCTAATAAAAAAATACACTCATAGCAAAGTAGTTAAAAACACCTACCTGTTGATATAAAAATATTGATTTTTAATACATACCTACTTTCAATTGAATAACTTGCAATCTGTTCATACAAAAGTACGAAATATCGAAACGTACATGAGATATGTACGGTTTATTTTTTTTACTCCAGTCAAATAGGGATTCAACCTCGAAATATAATAAGCTGTAAATTTGTATAAATTTTTACTTTGACATTTCTTAAGAGTGGGAGCTCTTAGTTGGACAGTAGTTGTTCATTGAAAAACAAAATATAAGTTGAATTCCACTAGAGGTTGAACTCCAAAATAATATTGTATGGGGTGGGAAAATATTAGCAATCTGTCGTGCAACCAGTCCGACCTTATTCTTTGTTTACCTTCCGCTACCGTTGGCCGATCAAAAATCTACTGAAAAGATTCTTTGCCCGCTGACTCATTTAGGAAGGATTCCGAGAACTTTAGACTAGCATCGAGATTATTCTAGTTAGGATTAAATTTTTTCTAGGCTGTTACACTTTTTTATAAGTGTATTTTTTTGCTGTACTTAGTTAAGTTTTAAAATAAATGTCGAATAAAGATAAATTGTTAAATAAATTAGAAGAAATAAGAAATTGTGCTTAAGTATAAATAATTTTTTTAGTATTTTAGTGTAAATAAATTACAAATAAAAAGTAAATAAACTGTTTTTAAAATAAACAAACGTTACATTGGTGTTAGAAGTTGGGATTTTGTGAATAAATATAGTGAGTAAAAATGGCTAAAAAAAACTATAGTGAATTAAAAGTGACGGAGTTAAGTCGGGAACTAGAAGATCGTGAATTGGAGACGACAGGGCAGAAAGCAGCGCTGGCAGAGCGGCTTAAAGAAGCACTAGAAAGTGAAGGTTTGAATCCGGAAACGTATCTTATTTCGGTTGATGCATCTTCTGTTATAATTTCTTCAGTTTCTTCCGTTATGGAAAGTAAAGTTTTTTCAGATGTTTCTTCTAAAAAAAATTATATTTCTTTCTTAGAAGAAGAGGCGTCTTATGATATTTCTTACTTAGAGGAAAAGTTGTCTTCTGAAATGTCTTTTATAAAAAAACGAAATTTCTTCCGATTTGGAAAACAAAAACTCTTCTTTAAAAGATGAAATTTCTTCCGATTTGGAAAGTAAAATTATTTTCTATGGAAAATAATATATCTTCAGTTGAGAAAATGTCTTCCGTTGAGGATAAAATAAAACAGATGGAAAAGAAAATAGAAAACTGGAACATACAGAACCGGTGAAATAAAGAACTATGAGGTTAACATTGAAAGGAGTTGTAAATTCTTCCCGTGTTAAAGCCCCAACTTTCTACAGTTCGGAACAGCTGTCAGAGCAAACGAATGGTCTGACAGCCCTTCGGGGAGACGTATCAGATATTCTTCAAACTATACCTGTAGAAGAGACGGCTGGCTTTGAGCAACCTGTCACAAAACATTGGTCGATGTTTTGTCCGATGCCCTTGAGTATGAGCCAGCTACTCGGACTTCTGGATGATACAGTTAAGTGAGGAATGTAATAGAAGAAGAAATTGTTTAACATGATAAAAAGCTTTATTGACAAGAAAACGAAGACTATCAGGTGCTGGAATTGCAATGAAATGCGAAATGTACGTAGTTTGCGTAAACGCTCTAGGATTACTACGAACCGGAAAACCGTGCTGGTAGCTGTATAGGAAAGAACGATGGTACCTACCTGGGGGGCTATTTTCAAAGTATGTGAGCACTCATTTCTCTCAAGATTCTCATCAGAAATGTCATACGTCAATGTGGAAATGTTGTTTTTAAAGGCATCGAGGATTAAATTTCTTAGGAAGATTTTAATTCTCTCTAAATAAACCGAGAGAAACAGTCAGTGAGTTCACACTGGCCCTAAGAGCCCTAAAAATACGGTTTTACGTTGACGTATGACATTTCTCTTGAGAGAAATGAATTCTCTCGAGTTTGAAAATAGCCCCCCTGAAAGGAACTGTGAAAGATGGAGCGCTTGTCATGATGGAATATTCGAAGCGCAATAAAGATGTTAAGGAACTCTCAATGGAAAGGGGTTGACCACATCTGTTAAAGAAGTTGCAGTACGAAGAACAACGGTTGTCAACGACGAGTGGCCTCTACCAAAATAAGGAAATAATAAAGGAACAATCCCGTTTTAAAGCAGATGCGACAATGGAGAGAGGAAAATCGTCGACCTACTTGACAAGAAGTATAAAATCTCTCTCCAGTAGTTAAGTCGTATTTGGCTCAGTGGGACTATTTTATCCTGGAAGAAGGCTTATTAAAGCGAGTACTCGAAAATGATGATGGTTGCGAGAACAGAATACAGTTGGTCATTCCAAAGACTAGAGTAGCCGAAGTACTTCGTCAAGTACACGACAGTCCATTAGCACATCTCGGTGTTAAGTAAAATGTTTTATTTGATAAACAGTTCCGATGATGTAAACGACTGGTGTCTGTGCTATGAGTGATGGGCCTCAATGGAAAAGGAATGCTCCCATAAAACAATACAACGTCGGTAGCCCATTTGAGAGGATTGCATTGGATATTGCTGGATTGATTATTTCACGAAGTGGGTCCAAATCAAGAGGCCGCAACTGTTGCAGACCTGTTGATAGAAAAGTTTAACAGTCATTTTGGAGTGTCCATATGAGACCAAGGTAGAAATTTTGAAAGTCAGCTCTTCCGAGGAATCTTTGACAGACTAAGCATAAAGAAAATCGGCCCACAGTCGGATGGTAAAGCGAACGAATAAGACCATTGGCAAGTACCTGTCAAAAGTGGTTTCCAACCATAAGCAAGATTGGGATCAGTATTTTTCGCTCTTTGCAATTGACTATAGATCCGCTGTCAGTGAATCAACAGGCCAAACATCAGCAAAAGTCCTGTTTGGGCGTGAGATGAGGCTACCGTGCGATTTCGAATTTGGATGTCGACTTGGAGAATACATTGCCGGTGAAGATTATGTGTACCAGTTAAGAAGAAAAATGGACGATATATTGGTTCGCTCGCATCTTCAAATCGTCAGCGACAAGATGAAAAAACGGGATACCCAAGCCACATAAGGATGTTTCAAGGAAGGCTACAAAGTCTGGCTCCATAACTCAAAAAGGCAGAAGGGTTATTCTCCAAAGTTCCAAAAGTCTTGGGAAGGCCGTACCTCATCAAGAGAAAAATTAACGATGTCATTTACCGTAAAAGTAAGATCCCGAACGGTAAACCTAAGGTAGTGCACTAAAACCGGCTGGCGCTATTTGAGGGTGACCATGACAAGGAAGAAGAAGTAAACCTGCTCCTAGAAACACCTGACCTTGTCTTTGAAGAATTTATGGATGCATATGGAGGTACTGGAAAAAAAAATATGGTCTTACAACCGAGCAACAACAAGATCTGCTTACGGTTCCTAAAGACCATACTCGCTGAACCATTGCACTTTCGTCAGCATCAACGAAGATCAAGGTCTGGCATCTGTGTTTCGGAAGAAGTTTTGTCGATTGCCAGAGCTATCAGCCCCTGGAAATGCCTTGAAACTTCAAGATGGATCGCGTTACCTTTTCTATTTGGTAACAAAGAACACCTTCCGAGATCGGTCCACTTATCATGATGTATGGGAAGTATTACTTAGTCTGAGGGAGCACGTACTGGAGTCCAACCAGCTGAATTGGAGGATCATTAGAAACATGGTGGAAGTAATCTTTCAAGATAACGAGGTTCAAATAGTGGTCTGCTGCCATTCACCTAATGTCCAAGTTATAGAGAAAACCGTCTATTGTTATTTTCATGCAAATGGAAATTTAAAAGAGGATCTCGTTCTATATCCGGGAACGAAGCAAATTCTGCTTTTATGTTTTTTAACACTCGAGTGTTAGGCACTTTTTTTTACAACTTTTTTACATTGGGAAATATAATATTTGTAGAAAAACACTTTTGTTTACATTGATACACAGAAAATTAACGTCACTTACGAACGACCTACCACCTACAGTCAATTTGAAGAGTTTCACAAAAACGAAGGACGGAAATTTTAAGTTTGGCCATTGTCGATTTGACTCCTCTCTAGTCTTCATAGTTACAGTTTTGTAAATACCTTACCTTACTAAATTAAGTTTTAAAATAAATGCCGTCTAATAAAGATAAATTGTTTAATAAATTAGAAGTGTGAAATAAAAAGTGCTTGAGTATAAATAATTGAATATTTCAGTGTAAAAAAATTATAAATAAACTGTTAAAATGAGCCTTTCAAACATTTTTTTTTTTTTTAAATTTTGGGTATAAATGTTTAAGTTGGTTAAGAGTAATCAGGACCTCTCGCGAAAGCAAAAATGTTTTATTGATTTTCTATCATAAAGATATATTATGCGCGCCCTGAGAGTACTTCGCGATATATGTATCTCGAGATTATTAGAGAGCTTTAAGATTGTGCAACAATAAGCCAGCACTCCACAGAGATGTTTAAGAAAAATCTACTAGATATTTATTGAAACAAAAAGCAGCAAATTTTCATAGATTTAATACAGAATGGCATGTATGTTTTTTTAAAATTTCTTTTAAAATTTTTTAAAATAAATACTTTTCGAAGGTTTACAAAAAATTCAAGATTTATCCACTTGGTTTTATTATTTTGCTCTGCTCGTCCCGCAAATATTCAATTTTTACATAAAACAAGGCATTTCGTAACTGGTTTCATAAATAGCTATTTCGAAACTAGTTTCA